ATGGTGTGTGAGTGAATGGTGTGTGAGTGAATGGTGTGTGAGTGAATGGTGTGTGAGTGGATGGTGTGTGAGTGAATGGTGTGTGAGTGAATGGTGTGTGAGTGGATGGTGTGTGAGTGAATGGTGTGTGAGTGTGCCCTGCGATGGGTTGGTGCCCCATCCTGGGTTATGCCCTGTCTTGCACCCACAGCCTCCCGGATAGGCTCTGGACCCCCCTGCGACCCTTAATAGGACAAGTGGTTTCAGAAAATGGATGGATGGATGGATGGATGGTGGATGATGATACTATTGTAATGCTTGTTATTAATGTATACTTCAGCTGTCATGTTATGAATGCAATGCTTTAAGGCATGTTAAGGTGTACTTATATGCTGCTTATGAATGTTACATGAATGCTTTATAAATGCATTGTGATGGTGCACTGAATATTCTATGATTGCACAATGATTTCGTTATGAAGGTACATTTATTGTAAAGCGTTACCTTTGTTTTATCGTTTTAGTCCATCCATATTAGTCCATTTTATCACATTAATCCATCCAAGATGTTGTTAACTTGTGCAGGATTGATTCAAAATGGAAGTAGTACTATTGCATAAATAAGTATTCTATAGTGTCCTTGGACCAGCATTGCCACTCATGTCACATCTCCATTTGAGACGGGCTGGTTTTGCAGGGCTGATCCGTCTTCGCTCCAGTCCACCCCCGAAATTACGGGGTGTGGAGTACATCCTCAATGTCACAGCGACTGATGACAACGCCTCAGGTGGGCCACACCCTCTCTACACCACTACCCAGGTCATCGTGGGTGTAGACGATGTCAACAACAACAAGCCCGTGTTTGAAAAGGTACACCGTCTGTGTCTGCTAAAAGTATTTGCTTTTTTCATTATTCCATTGTACAATGGAATAATCAAATGTATTTCTCACATCAGTAAATCTCCAAGTATTTTTCTTAATCTGTGCTCCCGTGTGGAGGAGTAATTGACGGTAGGAACCTATGTATCCACAGATTACAAACATTTTTAATGAAAATTACAGATTGGCATGCCTCAAATATAAGGGCTTTTAGATATGCTTCCAACTGAGTACAGAGCTCTCCGAACATCTTACAATGGAAAAATCACACTGCTCAAGTGAACTGTTGACTAGTACTTTTCCTTAGTGTGACTGTGGGTGTGGGTGTGACTGCATTATGTTCAGTGTGTACTCTGCCTTAATTCTAAGCAACTGTTGAAAATGAGCTGCTGGAAATAGTGTGGGATCCTTATTATACAGCTATGTTTTGCTGAAGTCCCAGTGCAATGTGGAGAATCCAGACAGCCTAAGTCCAATAGATATTAAAATGGGATGAGTTTTTGTATGAAATTGCAAATATTCTCTATTCCCTTGTCCAATATTGTAAAAGTATTGCTTCTACTATTATAGTGAAATTTAGCATTTCCTGTTGTGACCTTTCAAGCACAATTGATGCATTTCTAAAGGAATGCATGTTATACTTTAATTGTATTGGAAGTAATCAGCAGAGACTGTGTAGAGTAACATGTTTGCTTGGATAAATGACTTGGTCTACCCTCCCCCCATTGTTTTGTGTTTTTGCCCCCCTTCCAGTGCCTGCAGTACAAGGAGCGGACTTCTGTACTGGAGAACCAGCCAGTGGGAACCTTCGTCTTGCAGGTTCACGCGGTGGACGCGGATGAAGGCACGAATGGGAAGGTGACATATGGGTTTATGCACAAGGACAGCACTGTTCCTGCCTTCAGCATCCACCCAGAGACAGGTACGGTACACAGGCCATCAATTTTTACCGTGCAGTGAAGGCTCAGACTGGCCGTCTGCTTGCTGGGAGCGTTATGTTTAAAGGTAGTCATGGCAATTGGAAGTTCAGTGTAGGGCCGTTACTGCTAATTATCTTCAATTTATTGATTTGAACATGGAATTAAAAATGTTCTCACCTAGGTTGTATCTCTAGTATATACTCACATACAACATCCTCTGTTACAAGCCCATGTTCTGCCTAGAATATGTGTGGCTCTCTGTCCAGGATTGGAAGGTTGCTGGTTCATTTACTATGGTTGGCAGAGGGATGGCATTGTGGGGCCTTGAATAAGGCCCTTCATCCCAACTGCAGAAGGGACTGACGGACACTGTTTTCTCAATTGTGCGTCGCTTTGGATAAAAGCATTTGCTTAATAAATAATTGTAAATGTTTAATTATAGAGTATGATAATGTTGTGATTTCAGTTAGATTTCGGAAAACAGTGGATGTTTTTTTTTGTCAGTAACTGAATTGAGTATTATATTATTACAGAAAAATTTTACATGTATCGAAATTCTGTTTAATACAATATAACCTCAATCTTGGAACATCTTCCTATGCCAGTCACTAGGAAAGTTTAAAAAACAATTTAAATTAAAAGACACTTAGAATCAGTAAAAAAAAAATGACACTATAATGTTTTCCCCATTATTTTTAAAACCTAAAATTAGGATTATGAAAGGTAACTGGATTAAAAACGTACAGAAATATAACATTTCTGTATGCAATGGGTTGAAATATGTTCATATGGAAACTGAATACACATATCCACTTAGTGCTTAGATATATCTGCTTGTTAATGCAAAGTCTACTCCAAACAGCAAATCACAGGACTGTGATTGAATACATACAGTACAGGGTCTCAAGGTCCAGTTACTGAATGACTCAGCAGTAGATTGGTTAAGACTTACATGGAGATTTTGTGGTATGACTATTGGTGCCAGACGTGATGGATCCAGCATCTCAGAAACAGCAAAGTTCCAGCAATTTTCATTCACCACAGTGTCTGCAAAATTTTCTAAAGAATGATGTCATGCACAAAAAACAGCCAATGACATTTATCTGGTGTATAACACTTTGTTAATGAGAGTGGCCAGAGGAGAATGGTCAGACTCATTAACGCTAATAGGAAGGCTGCATGTGCAAAAATAACAGCTCGGTATACTGTAGCAGTGGTGTGCAGAAAAGTATCTCTGAACACATAGATCTACCCTAGAGGTAAAAGTAGGTCCGACATGGTACTACCCAGGTGTACCTAATAAAGTCACCATTGGGTGTATAAAAGTATATCTATAGCTGTATCTAATTCGATCTTTTGCATATAATAGTAAGGACGTATCCTTGGTTGAGGAGCATGTATTCTGAACCATCAGAACTTTAGCTGCCAAAAAACCAATGGGCAGGTTTCTCGAGGCACAGCATGAACACCAGGAGTGCAGTTGGGGTATGTGACTGGGTAGGACCACAGCTAATGTAGCAGAGCAACAGGTGGTGCTCTCATTTAAGCAAGCTAGGTTTGAGCTATCTCAGCACGACACAGCAGGTGGGACTGAGATGAAAACCTGGGCACAGGCAGGAGGAGACAAGATGGTGAAGAAGAAAAAGCACAAAGAGGTGAAGCTGAGGGAGTCAGCTAGGTGTTTTACCCAACTTATAGCAAACAATTCTGCAAAGGAACTCAGAATAGCATTGTGAAAGAACTGAGAGTACTGAAAATAGTACTGTGCCTTGAAGCAGCTTAAATAGAGCCAGGAAGTCCGACACGTCAACTCTGATGAGAACCAAAACTGAGAGGTGCTGCCCACTAGCTGATGGCTGAACTTAGCACTTTGCGAGTATCTGAGAGTATCTGGGAGTATAACGAGAGTCTGGGATGCTTGCCACCTGTAGGTGTGATTGTGACAGCCAGGGAGTTTGACCGCGAGCGGCAGAGAGAGTACGCTGTCACGGTGACAGCCACTGATAAGGCAGCGGAGCCTCTCATTGGGATTTGCCAGCTCAACATTCTAATCCTGGATGAGAACGACAACAGCCCGAAGTTCGAGAACCTTCGCTATGAGTGTGAGTATCGGCTATGGGCGATGTTGCTGCCTAACTTCCTGCAGGTATCGATTACTTATGTCATGTACAGTTCCAGTCAAAAGTCTGGACATATCTACTAAAAGTCATTTATTTTTCAAGAAGATAAAGACCCTAAGCACACCTTGAGTTTATGTCAGTATTGTATTATGTTGTGAACAAGGAAAGAGATGGAGTGCTGTGACAGATGACTGGGCCCCCGCAATCCATCGATTTAAATCCTACAGTGCTAGTTTGAGATTAGTTGGATTGACAAGTAAGAGCATGGTAGCCAACCTGTGTCCAGAGTTTTTGAAAACTCCTTCAGGACTGTTGGAGAAGCATTCCAAGGGCTACATCTGGAAACCGATTGAAAGAATGCCAAGAGTCTGCAATGCTGTCATCGAAGCAAAGGGGGGCTCTTTTGAAGAATCTAAAATGTAAGAAAATTTTGAGATGTTGAACACTTCTCTTGGTTATTACAATATTTCATATGTATTACCTTATAGCCTCAGTGTCTTTTACTATAAGGTGAATAACAGCTAAAATGCATTAAAAGCAGGTGTTTCCAGACTTTTTACTGGTACTGTACTCTGCATTAATATCTACATGTGACTGGACCCTCTCTATTCATTTCAAATTTGCAAGTTAAAACAAAGACCCCTTGACAAACCCTTTTCACAGGAGCTTTGTAGTATGTCAGGTCTTCCTTTTCTTGCTGGCTCGTAGCCAGGGGAGCTTCTAGCTATTGAAAAGACCAGGGGTTAAGTCAAGTTTACCTGGTGCCTGACTTTTTTGTTTTTTTTTGAACGATGATTGACATTGATAACATACTCAGGTCTAGGCTCAAAATACTCGGGGCTATAGCCCCAACTGATCGGACCTGACAGCGCCCATGCTTGTCGCTAACATTAGTGACCCTTTTGGATTGTCTGTAGACTTCCTGCGTGAAGACACCATGATAGGGACCAGCTTCCTCCGTGTGGCAGCACATGACGATGACTACGGCACCAATGCTGCCATCACCTATTCAATGTCCGCCGACAAACCCGAGTACCTGCAGGTGAACCCAGTCACAGGATGGCTGTACGTCAACCAGCCCATATCGCAGGTGGGACTGTGTTTCCTGAAAATATGGAGCAGCAGGTGGCACAAAGGATGTTATTCTTGCTAGTGCTAGAGCTGCTATGAATATGTATGACAAGCCATGCTGTATATTGATGGCCGGAACCTGCCCTTAAGAACCACAGTGCAAAGAGTGTGCAGTGCAAAGACATTATTTTCTTGTTTATAAGCCAAAAACGCATTTATTAGTGTATTAGAACTGCTTTTTTCCTCCAATGATTAAACATTTTACTCAGTCGCCATCTATGTTAAATTGTGTTCTACATCTGGAATTTTAAGTAGCATTAGTTAGAACTGAAGATTATAATCACGCATTGATTTACTACCGCGATTCGCCTGGCTGGCGCTACATGTGCAGTTGTAGAAAATTAATCAACACCCTTCAGACCAATCAGACATGAGAATTCAACAGTGCCGTGGTATAATGAACATTAATTACTTCAGTAACTATCCAAAAATATTAAGCAGTAAGTTCTGAAGGCATCAGAGCTGAGCGTCTCACCATCTCAATTAGTACGTTCAGCACTTATTCAGGATGTGGCATGATGAGCCACATTGTAACCTCTGATCCTAAAGTAAATGTTTACTAGACAGAGTGTTGTTCTGGGAAATGAGCAGTGCCGTGTCATGAAACTTGAGGGTAGATCCCACTACATGTTTTTCCTCGTGAAGTGTGCGTTACCTTGAAACACTGGATCAGAGAAGTATGGTGTGGGAAGAGAGTGCATTTCTGTCTAAGTGCTATTTCTACAGAAGTGATGTATCATGTAAGACGTACTTATCATGTTTCGATTATAGTGCTTTGTAACTATGACATCAGCAGTCATACATCAGAGAGAGAGGTAATTGCCCTGTAATCATTGATCTTGAAAAAGGTATAATTTTTGTCCTGACTCTCCACCCCTGTTCCAGAGGACCTACATTACTCGTCAGATCATTGCCAAAGATGGGGGGAACCAGAGCAGCACTGTGGAGCTAGCTGTTACCATCACCAACGTGAAGAACCAGCCTCCCCAGTGGGACAAAAACAGCTACAATGTAGTCATCCCAGAAAATACCATGAGGGACACAACTGTTGTGGTGAGAGTCATGGCAGAAGGCAGAGAAAAGGGGAAAGTTCCCTATTCCTCATTTGCAGGGACTACCCTAGTTAGCTGAGTGATGCATGCTGGGAGACGAGTCAAATTGCAGCATTGTGCACATTGTACTACAAATGAGAAGCTTCATATTCCAGGCTTTGAAAGGGTGCCTTAGTATTTGTTATAATTTTACTGGGTTTGGAGCAATAGTTTCAGGATTGAATCACAATGACTCCCAGAGATGGACCTACAATCATAGGCTGTGTATCTGGGATGAGACAAAAGTGCCGTAACCAAGATTAAAGGTGCAAATTTCTGACTTTTCCGTTTGCTTTTTCACCACTTTCTGCAGAAAAGAATGTTGTAAAATAAGGGATTGTCTGTAAATGCACAAACAGGGCCAGTCAGGTAATGTCATAACTCCATTGTTATCTGCTAAAACCCCTGAAGGGGCCCTATTAGAGTAGCCTTGATTGGGGCACTTATCCTGAACTGGCCTCATCAAAAGTGCCTGAATAATGTCTGTAGAGCGCAAGCATCGGGCGCCTAATGTGCAATTCAAGTCCCTGGTTACTAGTGAGGCTGTTACACAAGGTCTTGGTCATCGCACATGTTCTGCTGCAGGACACTAGGACACTAAACCATCAAACCACCCATCCCTTAATGCCTGCAAGTTCTATATTCTGTTTTTTTTAATTATTCTGAATTAAGTCATTATCTTCTGTGACTGAACAAGGAATCTCTCTAATAATTATCCAAATACATTGGAAATGGAATTGGATAATCTTCTTCATTGTTTTGAATAAGCTATTAAAAGCATTTAAAAAGTAAATGAATATTTCACTAAGCATAAGTGTAATGGAGTGTGTTGACACATAATTGATATAAGATGATGGGATGTTTATTGATGGGAGATGGTTGGTATTTAGCTAAGACCGACCGGGAATGTTTACGTTGTTATTATAGTATATGGCAGTGTTTCCCCATCTGGTCCTTAGGGACCCACAACTGGCCCATGTTTTTGCTCCTCCCGAGCTCCCTGCCAGATGGTCCACATTTCTGCTTCCTCCCAGCTCCGGGGAGGGAGCAAAAACCTGGACTGCTGTGGGTCCCTGAGGATCGGATGGAGAAACACCAGCATATGGGATAATAATGTATCTGTAATGTTAGAGAACTCTCCAGGCTCCATGGCATAAGGAATCACACTACACGAGCTTCTAGAGTGTTCTTTGATGATACCGCCGTGTGCTTTCCTGTCCCTCCTCCCCCATCACCAGACAATCAAAGCTGTGTCAGCCTTGGGTGATCCCAGGGTGACCTATAACTTGGAGGACGGCATGGTGCCAGAGACCAACATGCCAGTGCGCTTTTATCTGACTCCCAACCGCGAGGATGGATCGGCCTCCATTCTGGTGGCTGAGCCTTTGGACTATGAGACCACGCGTCACTTTACGCTGAGGGTCCGTGCCCAGAACGTGGCCCCTGTCCCCCTGGCAGCTTTCAGCACCGTCTATATCAATATCACTGGTAAATACCATAATACCCTTCATTCCCCATATTATCCTCATTACCAAGGATATTAGTGTAAGAGTTTGTATGTGTGCATGTATGTGCGTGTGAGAACAAACTGCTATGCACGTCATGTGACTTTTGTGTATTTCTTATAGATGCCACCAAAAGTATCGGAAATTTCCACTTTTTGAAAATAGGCTCACAATTTTCCATGAAATAGGATGAAACCAACAAAAATAATTGGCATCCATCATTCTTCATTCCATATTCTGAAGAGCAGACACTTTGCTTTTGATTTATGAATTAACATATTATTTAAAATAATAAAACAGGTGAAAATGGCATGGACAAAATGATTGGGACCCCTTAAGTCTAGTTCATACTTGAGTGCACGGACCCTTGTGTATGTACTGCGTTAGTTTGCAGACACAGACACTCGCGGTTGGCTAATACGTACAGCAAAGATATTCCACCAAACCAACAGAGGGCAGATGTATTGCAATAAACAGAAATACAGGCAGTGTAGTGAAATGTGTAAACTTTAATGAACATTTTTTAAGTTGTTACTAAAGCGGTATTAAGGTAATGCAGCATGCGACGGTATTTTGAAATCCTTGCGACAAAATGACCCCCCCCCCAGTCATCGCTTAGGCCACTATAATCGGTATCTTTTCAAAATGCAGGAATAATGTTGCTTTTGAAAATACCGTACACCGTGGGCTACATATCCGCCATCCAGTACAAACCCCTGATGACCAAGTTCACATCGCTCACCCTGTGCATGGACCGTAGACGCAGGAAAGTTTAAGAAGTTAAAACAAATAACTGGTGCATGCCCAGGGGTTGACTGGGGTGGGCATTGCCTACACAGAGATGAGCATTGCCCACCCAGAGGAATCATCTGCCCGTCTAACGAAGACCCAACGGTATAGCTATTTGTTGGAATGTCCATAGCTATTTCTAATTTTGGCATTGGTCATCAGAAGTGCAGTGCATTCCTATTGGCCATTTTGGGGGCGTTTTTAGCCACTGTTCCTCCTTTACATTTCCGCCAAACCACAACACTGCTTCACACATGCAGGCGTGGTTAAGTGAACTGCAAAACCAGTGTGTAGCTGGCTGCCTCCAGCAACCCACTTAAAACTGTTAATGTCTTTGATTCTTGTTCATTCATTTCTCTCATAAAATATTAGTAGTCTTTAGTAGTATTTTATTCCACTGTAGCACACTGAAGACCTAAACCAAAATTTGCACATAAGTTTTCCTCTCTAGTTCATCATGCAAATGCACATCATGAAATCTAAATCTTACCGAGTTTAATTATTTTTTTTTTCTTTTTAATGGGATAACGGCCTCAGACCCCCATACGAAAATTGGATTCTGTAATTTTATTACTTTTACCCACCCATTCTCAAAATGAAACTACATCCTTGTTTACACCTTGTTTACCATATTTAGGAAAACCAGTATTTTTGTTGTTGTCCGCCTAAATAAGACAAATGGCAATTCAAAGATGACATCCTGGTAACACGTCTGAGAAATAATGGATTGTAGTAATAGCTCAAATAGACTATTTACTTTAATCAGTATCACAGGTGTCTTCAATCTTATAATCATTCACTCAGCTTATTTTAATGGAGAAAATACTCACTTGTTTGTTCTGTGTCCTTGTGTACATCACACTGAACATGGAAAAGAAAAGGAATTGCAGAGAGCTGTCTGGGAACGGATGGAGGGCGGTAACAGGCAAACATGGTCAGGAGTTTGATTTATGTGACCATGGTTGTGAATATTATCAAACATTTTAAGGTTCATAGGACTGTAGGTCAACCTTCTTGGATGTAACCGCAAGAGGAAAATTGACACCTGATTGAAGAGATGAATAGTTTGAATGGTGGAAACAGGACTAAGGAAGACTTCCAAAACGATCCAGGCTGACCTACAGCATCAAGGTACAACAGTTTCAGTTTGTACCATCTGTCCCTGTCTGAATGAAAATGGGCTCCAAAGTAGAAGATCCAGGAAGACCTCACTTGTGAAAGACCAACACAAAAAAGCCAGACTGGAGTTTACCAGAATGCATGTTGGCAAACCACAGTCCTTCTGGGCAAATGTCATTTGGACAGATGCAACAAAATTAGAGATTTTGGTAAGTCACAGCTGATCTATGGTTACAGAAGACAAAACAATGCTTTCAAAGAAAAGAACACCATCCCTACTATGAAGCATGGAGGAGGCTTAGTAATATTATGGGATAGATGTGCTACCTCTGGCCCCTGGTGCTTTGACTCTGTGCAGGGCACAAATCTGAAGATTATCAAGGCATTCTGGAGTGAAATGTACCATCCAGTGTTAAAAAGATCTGTCTCGTCGCAGGTCATGGGTCCTCCAGCAGGATAATAATGCAAAATATGCATCTAAGAGCATGCAAGAGTGGTTTTAAAGAAACACTGAACTGTTTTGTGGCGTGCAACGAATCTCGATCTGAATCCAGTTCAACATCTATGGAAACTCAAAGGGAAAAGAAACCCATCAAAGCTAAAAGAACTGGAGCAGTTTGCTCAACAAGAGTCGGTGAAATGACCAACTGAGAAACGTAGAATTCTCATTCAGAACTACGTAAAGCATTTGATTGCAGTTATTGCCCTAAAATGTGTACTACAAAGTATTAGGTTAGTGGTCCCAATAATTTTATCCAAATAATTTTATTTGTTTTATTATTCAAAAGTCATAAATACAAAGTTTCTGCCCTGTGGAATATGGCATAAAGAATGGTGGATGACAGTAACTTTTGTCGGTTTCGGCTAATTTTGCAAAAAATTACGATTCTCTTTTAAAAAAGTTGAAGGGTACTAATGCGTTTGGCCACATTTGTATGCGTTTTTGGTCTGTTCTTTAAGTATAGTTTATTTATGGTACCTTATGTATTTTATTGTGTTTTTCTTCTGTGTAAATTTGATGTATATGATCCTGTTCAAACACCTTGACTTGGGCAAATGCTGTTTTGCTTCTGTCATATACCTGCATGAAAGAAATGACAAAGAATCTTGAATCTTAAGCTCTCGCCCACTTGTGTCCTGTTCCCCTTTGCCTCTTCACATACACTGTCCTTTCTGAATGTGGGACGCATGAACAAGGCCGTTAAAGCTACTCAGCTCTCAAAGCTGGCCCTCAAGTTCCAGTTGGGCTCTCTGAAAGTTGTATTTAACCGGACCATCTTCTGTGATTCATCCGGTACTTTTTTTCTTAAGTTATGTTACTTTGGACACAACATGCCAAGCAGCTAATGAATTGATTAATGGAATGTAGCAGAGTAGGGTGCATCTCACCTGACCCCAGATCAGCCCTGCCCGTGCCAGACCAGACTCCCCTTTGCATCTTGGGTCTCTGCGGTTCCCACCAACTCTGTCTCTAAAAAGGCAGACGCTCCTCTATCATTCATGCGTGTAAAGTACAAAGTGGAATTATTTATCGCGCAGGCTCTCTTTAATAACTTATATTGCTTAATAAAAGATTTCTCTGACAGAAATCAAGCCAGGGGAAAACCAGGCCTTATTTAAAAAATAAGAGAAAAATTATGAAAAAAATTCTGATATTATATCCAATTAGAATTGACAAAATTTGGAATGAGCTGGACCTCTGACTTTATCCACATACTGGGCCTGAAGTGAAAGGGAATAGTATATAAAGGGTTAGGTTGAAGAGTTAAAATTTCCATTACATTCATCGCGATGGTTTCTATAATCCATGATTGCAGCACTTAGTGAACATTACTTCAACTTAATTTGACACAATTCTCAATTTCATCTTACTTGATTACAACGTAATAACATAATGTGTGTGCTGTTGTCTTGTGCTTTTTAGTATTGTAATGCCTATTTACCATTCATTTTATTACTTTATTACAGCTACTACCTTCTGTTAATTGTAAACTTCGTCTTAGCATCCATGCATCCATCTTCCAACTCTTCATCCTCAACAGGGTCAGCATGTAAATATATCAATAACTAACATATAATTAGGAGAACACTTCAGAGTTTACTTTTGTACTCATTCACTCAGCTTACACTCCAGTAATACTTGCATACTGAAGAGTTGATAGAAAGCTCACATTGAAACCCTACAGATTGTTGTAAGGTGTCACTCCTATGTCATTCCAGATGTCAACGACAACGTACCTTTCTTCACTTCCTCCATCTACGAGGCAACAGTGACAGAGGGGGCTGAGGTTGGGACGTTTGTTCTCCAGGTGTCTGCTAATGACCTAGACCTAGGTCTCAATGGAAAGGTCAGTGCACAGTACAGAGTGTTGTACAGAAGTCTAAGTCACTGTGTTACATTACGTTCTTGTCGATTCATTTTTAACTCTGTTTCATTTCTACTCTGTAGAGTTCGTGAGTGCTCCCCAGACTCGCATGCCAGTTCCTTCCACGTCTGACGCGTCTAGTTAAAAGTAAATGCTTACAGAAATACATTGTATGTATTATTCATTAAAATCCCATAAAAGTATCATTAAGGCGAACAGCAATGTCCCGTTAACCCAGTTCTATAGTGAATTTTTTACAACTGCTCTTATTTAAGCTGCCGTTAGTGTGTTTTTCCAGTGGAAGACATTATTCTGTGTTGTGATTATTTTCTTCGAAACTTATCATGCATAGTGCAGAGCGGTGTCTCAGTGGGTGCCATTCCAGCCTGGAGGCTTGCATGCCGCCTCTGTTCTCTCTCAGTGGGGTTTACATGTTCTCCCCATGTCATCCCCATTTCCTCTGGGCACTCCAACTTCCTCTTGTAGTCCAAAGACATACCGTTTAATTGATGCCTTTAAATTTCTCACAGTGTGTGTGATAGATTGGCATCCTATCCAGAATGCATCCCTGCCTGCTTCCCGGTGCTGCCTGGGAGAGGTTCCAGGCCTCCTGTGACCCTGTCAGGATAAATATTTTGAAAATGGATGATTATGTATAACCAGGGATTTTTTATTAACTATAAAGAAATATGGAACAGAAAAATGTTGGTGTGATACCGACACACATGCTCTGTGACCTCAGGCCTAAACACCCTCTCAGTACGAGTCCTAGTGTAATTAAATTTCTTATAAATTAACTTTTGACTCTTGGCAGAAAAAGGTGGAAAACAAATTATACTGAATAGCACGTGAGAGCTGTGTCCTCAGGTGAGGAATCCAAGTTTGAAATGTCAAAAAATACCAGAGATGCCATTCAAACTTCTTTTGGTGAAAACAATCCTTCTTTCATGTCCAGTTTCTTTGCTTGTCACTTTTTGCAGGTGTATTATGTGAAGGGTTACGTGTGAGGTGTTCTGCTATAGCTTTTGCAGCCATTTCATCTTCGTTCTTGAAGTAGGTATCATGGCGTCCGTTCTCCATCCTCACAGATCTCCTATTCGCTGCTGAGTGACCGGAGTGGAGACCACCGACTCTTCCACATTGACCCAGAGTTAGGAGCTATCTACACTGAGGCCGTGTTTGACCGGGAGATGAAGGGCTCATATCTTCTGGAGGTGAAGTCAGAGGACGGGTGGGAGTCAGCCCGCCCAGGAAGACACGGGCAGCCCAACTCTGGTTAGTGACACTGGTTCCAGTCAGCATGTTACAGTACCACCAACAGAGAGTATCCTACCTACTCTTGGCTCTAAATATGTTATTTGCACATACATGCTTCCCTCATATTCAGAATGTAGATTTCACCTTTGTCAGTGTGCAAACAAGATACAACAATTTAGAAAGCATGGATGCATGGATTCAGTCCTGCACTATGGTTCATGGTCAAGGGGCAGGAAAATTTTATTTATGGGGCAAGTTTGGCAAACAAGTATTTTGTCGTCCTAAAAAGGACAGTCCCCATCTTCTTAATGCTGTCATCTTCCAGTTCAAGTTTCAAGTTGACGTAAATTGTCTAGTCGTCTTGTCTAGTAGCAGGAGTTAAGGGAGAGTTTAGGGTGATCCTCTCACTGAGGAAGCATCTTAGGCAAATCAATCCTTCATATGTATTGGAATGAATAATAAATTTGCTTTTTAGACTAGTTCATTCTTTGTGATATTTTGTCAGCATAAACCATGCTCAGATATTAAAGGAATGGGCACTTGTTGCTCACTGACAAGTTTCACAAATGTTGGATGAAAATGCATAAAAACGGTGTTAACGTCAGAGTAGTGAAGCCAGGAATTTGATTTGTTTTTGGTTCCTTTGCATTTATATTAACCTTCAACCTTCTCCTACATGGTTTCTCAATCACAAGGCCCACCTTGTTTAGCTATAGCGTCAGGCCTGCTGGATAAGAAGCAGACGCGGGGGAGGTGTGGGAGACTGTAGGGTTAGATACAGTAAATGTCCTGTAAACTCAGAAACAGGCAGATGCATGGGTCCTGAAAGATATGTAGTCATATTTAGGTTATAATATACACCATAATGTATAATAATGTATCACCAATTGCTTCCAATAAAATGTTTGGTAAGTCATGAGACTTGCTGGAATGGCCTTTTTAGGGTGATGATATGCCATTGAAAGAGAGGAAGTTGAAAACGAAGTTGAGAATGGCAGCTAGGTCAAAAAATAGTTTATGTATTTCTTTTACAAAAGGCAGAATGTATTGCTTTTTGCTGAAGAGTTAACTCTAAACTCTCACTTAACTGCTGCTACTAGACAAGACAACTAGACAATTAACGTCAACGTGAAACTTGCACTAAAAGCTGACAATGTTTTTGTTATCTGTTTCAAACGAAGCATTTTGTTAGAATGTGAGCAGGGAAAAGCTCCAGTGCCCCACAAACTAGGATATTTTATATCACTTCAACGACGGCTTGATAACAAAACAAAAGCTGGTAGAGCAAAGGCATGTTAAAGCTGACAGAATAAGAGCAGCGCGGTGTTTAATCTTCCATTTATTGCTTCCACAGATACAGCATACGTACGCATATTCATCAGTGATGTGAATGACAACAAGCCCATCTTTGTTCAGAACATCTATGAAGTTGATGTGGACGAGGACGCGGACGTGGGCTTTGCCGTTGTCACCGTCAGCGCCAATGACGAGGATGAAGGTAGGAGCGATGGAGGTGATAAAGTCATAGAAATCAACATTGGCCATTTAATCATTCGTGGTATGCTGATGCAGGAGAAGTGAGGCACTTGAATTCCATGATAAATGCAAATTGGACTGAACAAACCTTTAGGGGTTAGATGAGACGTCATCAGTGTCACGCAACCTTGTTGAGGCTTAGATGTATAGCACTCCCACAGATCCAGAAAACGTCTTAACATAAAATTTCTAAATGTATGGTTATAAACTGAATGTCTTCATTTTACTGTTAGGTATTTAATTCTAAGATGTTGCCTAAAGACAGAGTAATCATGCACATATAAACAGAATAGAACTTGGGTTCTAATGTTCTATACGGCTTGGGTTCCTTTGGTTGTAAAGGTGGGAATTGGCCCAGAAAGAAAAACGTGAAAATGTAAATTCAACAAAAAATGCCTGAAGAATGAAAAATAGCTTTCAGGCTAAATGCAAAAAATATGTTGAAGGACGTTTAAACTGTGTGCAAAGGAGGCTTAAGGCACTCAGCACTCAGGAGATGCCATCATTGTTCCTGCTGGCAGTCAGTGAGGTCCAGCGCCGGTTGGGTCTCATGCTGGATTGTCTGTAGACTGGTGACTGTTCGTTCGTTTTGAACAAATATTTCAGGAGAACAAAACAATCTCAGGTATTGCACTTAATAATCTTGCTGAGTGGTTCATTGTCCATTATATAGTTACATATAACATAGAATAAGAATTATATATGGGAGATACAGAGGGCCAAATGCCCTGTCGGATACGCTCTCTCTCACAAACACATGGCGGTATTATTTTGTACTTTGTTGAAGTCCTAAAAGGATATTAAAAACAGTGAATTTGATTTTTAAAAATCAAACAGCAGCCCTTATATAGCCATGTTTCATGAATATGATCTCATTATATTCTCTGTAGATTAAACTGTCAAATGGAATCTTGTCCCTACATCATGCCTTGACTTTGGCCTTGGCATGCAAACCAGAAAGGACATTATTCACTCCCACGTAGTTCACATGGGTTGGCAATAAATCCATCTTAACAAGATCACTCTCTTTAGTGTAGTAGTACAATATATCTTTATCAGCCAGGTAATATGTGGAGTATTAGTGGGCATTTATCATGACAGAGGCTGTGGCTTGTACCGTGCTGGACCTGGTGATGAATGAGAGATCTGATGTAGCAGGGTTTGTCGCTGTGTTTGCAGTGAACCATTTTGCATAAGAAGGAATTCTGTGCTATTTTCATATGAAATTCACATAACAGTGGTGATTACAGGATTTTTGGTGTGGGGGGGTGCTTATGAGGAACTGTAATTCATAACGACGGGCTGACCTTATCATTAGTAAATGATATGTCTTGGATTGATGAATGACAGGGGAGGGGGTTCTCTGAGGGCCAATCAGCTTTGAGCTGAGGCCAGTGCTCTTGTGGCCCCTACATATGCCCTGGTCACATGAATTAGTGGGTTTGTTTCTTTTCCAGGAGATTAAAGGAAAATGGAATGAAGGCATAGAAAGTATTATCCTTGCTTTCCCTCTTTTATGTGGAGCCCTGTTCATGGCATAACTACACCATATATATATATATATATATATATATATATATATATATATATATATATATATATATATAAGCAAGCAGGCTACATAGTAAAACATACTTATGTTTTACAATATCGTGGGAACAAATTTATACAATTAATGAAACAAGACTATGATTTAACTAAAACAAGGAAACAAACTGGCGAAACATGGCCATGATATATGTTATGGCAGGAATTAATGAAGGAAGACAGTCCATGTAAAGAGAAACAAGAAACAAAGGAACCACGAGGGGTCGAAAACTAAACTATGGCAGGAGCAACACCAGGAAGAACAATACCAGAGGCAGGAAGGAACGCAGGGAACTACAATAACTAACATGAGGTAACTGCAACTAAGAATCACACAGCAACATAGGAAACAGCCACAATGAGCCACTGAGGAACTAAACAAGAGCAGGTATTTAAATATACCACTTAACAAGACAAAGATGTAGGACAGGTGAGAAAGAGTTTGATAGAACCAAATCAACTAATCATTAAGGGCACGGGGCTATAAATGAACGTGTGGGGTAATTTACAATTAACAAACACTAATGACTAGGAAGCAATAACGACACAGAGAGCTATCAACACTAGGAGAAATCAAGGAACACAAGTAAAACAGAACATAAACAAGGCAGGGAAACCATAAACAAGACATAATATAACCATACAGACACCAGCGGATAAAATGAAACCAAAATATTACATAAAGGTGAGGCCCTTGAACTCAAGGCAATAAGAATATCAGCCTCTGAGCCATATGCTCAACCTATTGGAACCCAGGGAACAAAGGAAGACACTAGGGGAACAGGAAACGGGAAGACTAGCGGGATCTGCTGGCCAAACGGGAAGACTAGCGGGATCTGCTGGCCAAACAGGAAGAAGAAACATGGGACTGGGCCGGAGCGGAACCAACCTTGACAATATCATATCTCATGTTATGTCATGAGAGGGGCTCCATATTTTTAGCATAAATTTTTGGAAATAATAATTTAAATATATATTCCAGAGCTTATTTAAACAAACACCGAAAGGTTTCTGCTCGGACAAAGTAGGATCCATTGGAGATTAATAGCTGGAATGAACACAACCAAAATATTCTGTGAAAACTTGTGATAACTTTGTTGTTAACTGTGCTTGTTTGTTGTTTTTTGTACTTATTTAGGCCCAATATGTAATTTTAATTAGGATGATTTAAGGCAGGCATTTTCAATTTCTGTTTGTGGTTTTATTGTGCTTCAGGTATTAATTTGATTTAAAGTCTTGTTTGGATATACAAGCACTCTGCAGTGCTTGCTTGTTTTTGTTCCAATTGAGCTCCTACGTAATTATGTTGGAGATATTTATTGAAAGGAAAATACAGCATCATTAAGATGAATCAGTCATACAATTAATGAAACAACAAATTAAACCTAATTCACATTACTAAAGTAATATGTTGCATATGTTAAAGTAGCGAAATTGTTTATTTTTATTTTTTTTTTAATAAATTGAGCAAATACCCAAAACCCATTTTTGCAGCATGATGAGATGATGTGTACGGTTGCAAAATCCAAATTGGTGATAATTTAAGGGCTTCTTTTAAAATGATGTGATCCCATTTCAGCGTACATTAGCCATATGAGGATACAGCTAACCCAGCTCTGCAGTAAATCACCCCCCACCCCCCACCCCCCACTGGCTTTAAGTTTCCCAGCTCTTTTCTTCAGCCATTCCTGTAGAGAGTCTCCTGTCAAGACGAAGATAAGTTAGATCTTGAAGTTGAATTAAGAGCTTTGGGTGAAATCCAGCACTCATCACGGTTCTTTAGGCTTAGCTGCCCTCACATCAAATCCTGTTGTATCTGTGCTCCCTTTCAAAGTGCTGTGTTGAGCTCTGCAGTCAGTATTAGCCTCTTACGGTGTAAGCTGGATAGTGGTGTGCGACCTGATCATCTGAACAGAACATCACAGCTTCGTGTCCCAGAAAGGGCCCAGGTGATGCACTCTTAACAAAGACCTTTAACATGATTTAGTAAATATAAACAGTGTGTAGAATTGCTATATTTGGCATATGTGGTTCTCCTCATGTAATTTATAAGTATTACTAAAAAGTGATAATGATCACAACTTGTTCTAGGAGCCAATGCCAAGCTGCGGTATCAGATCACTTCAGGCAATACAGGGGGGGTCTTTGACATGGAGCCCGAGGTGGGAACCATCTTCATCACTCAGCCACTTGACTATGAACGTGTGAAGAAGTACAAGCTACTGCTCCTTGCCTCGGATGGGAAATGGGAGGATTACGCCACCGTCAACGTCAACGTCATCAACAAGAACGATGAGGCGCCGGTCTTCTCCATGAATGAGTACTACGGCAGCGTGACAGAAGAACTCGACGGCTCTCCTGTCTTCGTGCTTCAGGTGTGTTTCTTAGATGCCATTCATTTTATTATGTGGATTTCTTATAGCGCCTGGAGTTGGTAGAGCGTTTGACCTTTAAGCCAAGAGCCCAGGGTTCAAGTCCCTGTTCAAGTTTTAGAGGGTGGTGTGTGGCTCTGTGAGTTAGTACACTGTGGCTGTGATCGGAAGGTTGTTGGTTTAAATTGTGGGGTCCACACAGTGATTCTGCAGTTGGGCCCCTGATTAAGGCCCTAAACCCTCACCTGCTCCAGGAACAGACTGACCATGCTTTCTCAATTATATGCCACTTTGGGTAAAAGTGTCTGTCTTTATGAATAAATGGAATTGTTATTGGGGATGCGTTTAGAATTCCTTATATAGGGCATGTGTAGGAAGTGTGATCCACCATCCTTTCTTTTCTTCACAACTTTTCATAGAGTCTGTTACAAGCCATTTCAGCATTAAAAAAATCTTGTGCTATTTATGACAGTTTATACTAAACATCTGAACACAATAATAAAGAAAATAGACTGAAGCATATATGAGTAATTGCTTCCATAAAATGTATGAACAGGTAAGTAAATAGTTTGCATGTTTTGTGACTCATTGAAGTGTTTTTTTTCATGGCCGCTCCCATGGGGAGGTTCCATTCTTGTTCTCCAGTTTTTAAGCCTCAACATTGATCTGTTTATTCATGAGTGAATTCTAAATGTTTCCTCCTGGCCTATTGATTCCAATATGCAGACTGATTTCAAATTAGACTGAAGCCTGTTGATGGAGCCTCAGGTTGTATTCAGTTTGTAACTGATATTTCCTGGAGGAATGTGGGAGGAGATTTGAATGGAAACTGAAGGTATGGGGATCTGGCAACTTAAAGATCCATCCATTTCTAGCTAAGGTCACCGCATAGGAGCAAAATGTTCCATTGTAGAATTTAGACAAGCTGTATTATACAGTTGTGGAGAAATATGCATCAATAATATGCTGAATGTTCTGAGACTGTATAATTGTGAAAAGAGGCAAACGTGGTAGACGTTTTGGAACTGTCACTATTTTTTATTTTTGATTAAATTCAGTGGTCTTAACGGTGAAAATTCACAGTTACTTAATGAGATTCAGTAAATGGCAGCACTGTAACTTTCCCGCCAAGTGTTGGCTAGTTTGGGCGAGGTGACAATCAGAGGGTACTAACTGTCTCGCACCAAAAATGGTGAGAATTTTTTTCCCCGGTATACCACAGCCTGATATTAAGTTCTTAGTTAACAGCAGACATCCCATCTCTCCTGGTAGTTTTGGAAGTCTCCCGTAAATTCTCTGACACCTGAGAATGATATGCAATGTCCCACAAATCTGTTGTTCCGCGATTCAGTGGCAGTGAAATGTGACAAATTTCACTGTCAGTAACCCCCTGCTCCAATTTGAGAAATCTCTCCTTCCCTGAGACCCATATGCTTACAGTTTTATTTCTATAACAGAACTAACAGAAAATAAGGTGTGGACAAATTTGCACTGGTTATCAAATTCATAGAACTTAAACTGTAAATTTAAGGGGCATGAAACAGTGCTATAATTCAAGGATGAACTGTGTTGAATTGAAGGTAAGATAATATGGAAAAAGAATTGTGGTTTGCACACATGTGAAGCGTCATTACTGATATACAGTTTCAATTGAGTGATCCTAACCAAACTTTTATGAACTTTATGAAGTTCTTGTATGTATAGCTCAGATTTTTAGATGCTATCTATATATTTTTCTGTTTACTTTCAAAACCCTAGATGCAGGTATCTGGAAAATTCATAGTTAACTAGCTATTAACCTGAATAATTGGCTAGATATGACTGGAAATTGCCCCAGTTAACCAGGAATGCTACTACACAGGGATGCATGTATATCATGCCTTAATTATTGCGTATTGCAAAAGTATTTCTTTACAAAGGAATCTTACTTTCATTGTTCAATTTACTGACCTGTAGCTAAAAGATACGATGAATACTGTATGTATTACATTGTAATGTAATAATTATATTGTTAAGCTATTCCTGTGAGCATTTTTTAAATATCAAAGTAAGCCAGTTGGAATCAAAAAACACCATTAATTGACAAAATACAGTTATAATTTGAGCCCTTTCCAATCCCTAGCTTGGGATGTGTGTCTGATGCCAGTCCACTTATTTTCAGAAAATGTATTAATGCTAAGTTATCTAGTCAACAATTCATTCTTGTTCATTTGAATTGAAATTCAGGGAGACTGGTCACCGTGTTGGGTGCTGAGAAACTGTAAGATTGGGACCT